TTATTTACATTATGAAATTGAATTGAATAGATTTGGGCTATTTGGAGTCGAGTACTCGTGGCAAGTGCGTGGTTTCGGATTGATTTGAGTTGGTTCGAGGTAAGTGGCTTGCCTAACCTTGTATTGGGGACATTCCCCTTAGGATTTGGTATTATGGTAATTGATATGCCTTGTACATGAGGTAACGAGTGCGTATTTGTGCTAATTGTTGAATAACCTATTTTTACTAAAGTAGCTTTAATTGTGCTTTCCTTTCCTGCTTACTCTACTTGAAATTTTAACCTGTTGCTAACTTAGAAAAACATGTTTAGTTGACTTAATTGCTTCATTGCTTAAACTGCCTTGATTGTATTATGTGAAGCATGTTAGGTTAGAATTACCTGTTTTACTTGGTACAAAATTGAGCTTAGTTGAGTGTTCTTTGTGTTGTTGCTGTGTGTTTTTACTTTGGGACTACGAGACGACATCCCGGGAGATCCCCTGTACGCATTTATGATTTGAGCTGAGGTGTGGGATACCGAGAGATCCCTAGCACATATATTGAGGATACCAAGAGATCCCTAGCATATATTGAGGGTACCAAGAGATCCTCGGGATACCAAGAGATCCCTGGCACATGTTGAGGGTACTAAGAGATCCTCGGGATACTGAGAGATCCCCGGTTAGTTGCTTACTGAAGAGTGGTATTCCTTGTGATTGTTTTTGCCTCTGTTTCAGTTGTAGTTATCTTTATTACCCTGTTTTAATTAGTATCGTTATCTTTCAACTGTACTGATTTATATTATACTGTCACACCATATATTTTATTTAATCTCAGTAGGGCCTTGACCTTGAGGTTAGGCTTGGCACTTACTGAGTACCGTTGTAGTGTACTCATACCCTTTTTGTACATGTTTTTTATATGCAGATTTAGGTACCTCCATGCAGACTTATCACACTTGAGACGAGGCATTTGTAGAGACTCCAAGGTATATCTGCCGCGTCCGCAGACCGAAGAGTCCCTTTCTACTCTCCCTTTTAAGTATTAGCCCTTCTGTATTTTTCTTTCCTTACTAGATATTCTGGAGTTAGATACTGGTAGATATTCAAAGGCTTCTGTTCATGAGATTCCAAGTTTTGGGAAATGTATTAGTTTTTTAGAGTTGATATTGTGTATGCCGAGCGGTAGTCTGTAACGCTATTTTATTTCACTATTTCGATTTTTTATTCGTTTTCTTCCGCAAATTAGTTTATTTTCCGCATTATTAGGCTTACCTAGTCGTAGAGACTAGGTGCCGTCATGATAATTCATGGAGGGCAAATCGGGATCGTAACAGTCGGCTGACCTAGTTTCATGATAGGTGCCATCATGACCGGATAAGCTTTAGGGTCATGATAAATACCATCCATGTGGAGACAGATAGCGCTATACGATATACGCTACAAAGCTCAAGCACAACTAAGGTGCAATATATGATCTGACTCTTGTGAGCCATCCTGCTCACATAACACCATCGCTACACGGAACTTTAACACATATGAAATTTATCAAACCGTTTCACAACTCACAAGGCACAATATAGTATTACATGAAATAGCCGACGATGAAATAACATCCAGGCCCGAAGATTCCTCCGTAAGCAACACTAAGCTTAAATGAGTCCATACAGCCTGATATAGGGCCCACATTCACATTTAGATCCATGACGAGTGTCTGACATGTGTAAAAATTAAACTCGTACTCTATCAAATTATAATATAGAAAGATGTCGAACCCACAGAGATTGGTTTATATATTCTTCAGACGTTTCTTGTTTTAATTATTATTTGAGAAAATCAGAAAGAGTTGAGTTGCGATTTAACTACTAAAAATACATGAATAGAGCAATAGAATTTTTGTTTTCAAATATAATAAAAAGGTGTTGGGATCCTGACTTCACTTAATATTTTTACTATACAGTAGATATATTTATTCTTCAATTTCTATTTCTCATAAATGTATAAATGCCTCTGATGATTACATTCATATATTATTACTATTGTTGAACAATTAATTGTACTCCTCTCGGTTATACGAATTAATCATTAAATTGGTAATATTAAATAACCATAAATATATACTTGAACTAAAACATGCTCTTTTTAGTAGGTCTCTTTCTGTTACCCTACTTGTTATAACTGATTACTACAATATTCGCCTCATTCGATTAGAAATAAGTGTAGAGCCAATTTTAACATATAAGAGTTAGATGTCTTTTTTTTGGTAATGATAAGAGTTAGATGTCACTAAATAAAAGTTAACATCTATTAATACAAAAAATAACTATATTAATTCTCCCGCCTATTTTGATTACAGAATTAATAAGAAGTTAATATATAGTACGAAATAGATAGATGTTAACAAATTAAATAACACCTAACTATAAAGCAGATAAAATTTAAATGAAAAGCTTCCGCTCAAGTATGTGAAATTGAGGAATAATATCTACTATTATATAAAAATATTAAGATCCGTCATTCTCCCAACACAAGAAACGTTACTCCATAATGGAGTTAGTACTAACAACGGAAATATTCTTGCCCATTAAATAAGAAAATAGAAAGAAATATTCAACAAAATAATTCTCCCTATTTAATTAAAAATAGGAACTAGAGTAATTTCCAATACTACAATTTATTCGGAACTAGAAATGAAGCCAGAGTAATGGCTAAAAGATGAAAAAGAAGCGAAACTAAAGAACAAAGAGAAAGGGAAAGCTTACTACTCAATATTACACTTCTAATATTTCTTTTTCGCTCCCCCTAGATTTCACGATTGATGCCTTTTTTTATAGTTTAGCCATGAAAAACTTTTCAATACACTCTTGGATATGAACTTGTCATGGCTGATTGTAGCCTTGTTGTGCTTGGTTATGATCTTCTATTGTAGGTTAGTTATGGATCGGTTATAGTTTGTTGTAGCCGGTTGTGGGTCGGTTGTCCTTTGTCATGGAAGATCACTTTATACAATGTCTTTCTTTAGCACCAAATTTTACTTTAATTTAGCCTGTCTGTTTTTCTACTTTTTCCTCTGTAATCTTCTCGTTCTCGGACCAATCCTTCTTTAACTTTTCCTGCATAATTTAGACAAAAGTATGGAAGAAATATGATAGTTTTTGTGTTTTTACAAAGAAATTATATGTTTAAATATCAAGTAAAATGCACCTATCAAATTCTCCCAACTTGAACTTTGACTCGTCCTCGAGGAAATATATATATATATATATATATATACACACACACACACACACGCATTCACAACTTTGCAACAGTTAATGATTCCACCTGAAATTTCAAACCTTTTGAACTTTGTGGAACTTGCTTTGTATCTTCACTTTTACTCTGCAAGTATCACTGTTAGACATCTTTGAGTTTCAGAAAAAAAAAACAAGAACACTAAATCAGTTATTTACAATAAACCATAGGCTTGCCTTTCTTGTCAATCGCCACTAATGTAGATCAATGCTGGCTTTAGAATCTTTTAGGACTTTTATTAGCTTATAATATTAGGCTTTGGGCTGGTAGGATACAAAAAATATATATGAAGTGACTTCTTTTTCTTCTTCTTCTTTTTGGTGGCTTGATTTTCAAACATAGATGACTTTGTTCGAGAATTGGTGTTGATATGAGGATTTTAAATTTGTATAGCCCACTTGTCACGACCCCAAAACCGAACCCAGTCGTGATGACGCCTCTAGTGAAGACAAGGCCAGCCGACACTTCCCATTTTCCAATTTTTAGCAGTTAAGCATTAAGAAATAGTCTAAACATGATAAAATAATCCAATATAGCCATTAATATCATAAATACGCAGAAGAACAACCCAACACAGCCCTAACTGGGGTGTCACTAGTCATGAACATCTACAAGTTATAATACAAGTCTGCTAAGTCTATAAGCTAGTACAAATGTTTGGAAAGAGATAGAAAGGAGAAACACGGGACTGCAGACGTCAAACAGCTACCTCATGGACTCCGATATCTGCCCGGAGCTCTCAACTTGCACTAGCAGGATCCACAATGCCTGAATCTGCACATAAGGATGCAGGGAGTAAAGTGTGTACTCCAACTCAGTGAGTAACAAATATAAATAAAGACTGAAAGCAAGAAATCACGTAACGCACAAAGCATTGTATAATGAAGCCGTAAAACTAGTAAATCAGTGAAAGATAGGTAAAATTCTTTATCTCAAATGTAGTTTTATGAAAAGCCTTTTTCCAATGATTAAGTAGGTAATTGACAGTCAATTATGAAAAGTAAACACATAAAGACTCGCCCCTCGGGCATAATATCAACAAATTCGCCCCTCGGGCATAATCTCAGAATAGTACCAGCCCCTCGGGCTCAAATCTCATATCACAATACCAGCCCCTCGGGCTCAATCTCACATCATAATGGGTACAGACTCATAGAGGGGCCCCTTACGGCCCAAGCGCAATATCAAGCCACCTCATGGCGTATACATCTCAGGCCCTTGGCCTCATAATCAATATCAAATTTTTTCTCACAGCATAGGCCCTCGGCCTTACTCACAAGTGCATCGGGCAATAGTAAAACAGTGTTTCTCAGCCCAAACATCATTTAAAATATTATTTAAGTCTTAAAACTGAGTAAACATGGCTGAGTATGAAAATAGTGGAAAATAACATGACTGAGTTCAAGTATAAAGTCAAAATAGTGAGGAAATATCAATAGAAAGCGGTAAAGGGTTCAAATAGTTGGCACTAGGCCCAAATATGGCATTTAACCCAAATAATAATGATAGCAAATAGTTTTGAATCAAATACACTGTAAAATCATCAACCGGGACGGACCAAGTCACAATTCCCAATAGTGCACGACCCCACACTCGTCATCGAGCATGTGCCTCACCTTAATATAGCACTACGATGTGCAATCCGGGGTTTCAAACCCTCAGAACATCATTTACAATCATTACTCACCTCGAACCAGTCAAATCTCTAGCTCGCGACGCCTTTGCCCCTCGAATTGGCCTCCACTCGCATCGAATCTATCCAAAATCAGAAAAAGGACGTTAAAATAGGCTAAGGAAATAAAGCCCAAGCGAAAACAATTAGTAAATGACACAAATCCCGAAATTACCAAAACCCGACCCCCGGGCCCATATCTCGAAATTCAATAATTTTTGCATCAATAGATTCATTATCTTCCCACGAGTTCATACATATCAAAAGTTCTCAAATCCGACCCCAAATGGTCTTTCAAATCCTCAATTAAAGGTCTAAATTTCCAAGCCCTAGTTCTTCAAGTTTTTGATTAATTTCCATGATTTTCTAGGTGGAATTCACAAAATAATCGAGTTTTAATTCCAAGAATCTTACCTCCAAGTGATTCCCCTTGAATCCCTCTTCAATCTCTTTCAAAAAGCTCCAAAAACAACCAACTATGGAGGAAATAAACTTCACATTCGCAGACAAGACGACCTTGTAAACTTCTGCCCAGGCCTGAAAATCCTTATTCGCGAACGCGGTCAAAGCCTCGCGTTCGTGAAGCACAAAAATAACTTTGACCAAAATCCTCTTACGCGAACGTGACAAGACCCTCGCGAACGTGATGCTTTACCCAGACGAACCTTCACAAATGCGTTCCATCCATCGCGAACGCGATAGGTTAATTCCACTGAAGCTCAGCCTCTCAATTCCTTCTATGCGAACGCGACTACACGCCCGCGAAAGCGATGCACAATTTCGTAGCCCTTCGCGAATGCGTAACCTGCCTCACGATCATGAAGGATAATTTTCCACCTCCCTCAGCTGACCCTTCGTGAATGCGAGGGTCCACTCGCGAACGCGAAGAGTAAATACCTACAACTACTGAACCTGCAATTTTTGCAACTTTCTTAACTTCAAAATGATCCGGTTGACCACCCGAAACTCACCCGAGGCCCCGGGGACCTCAACCAAAGGCACAAACATATCCCAATACCTTATCCAAACTTGTTCCAATCTTCAAAATACCTCAAACAACATCAAATCACCAAAACACATCGGATTCAAGCCTAACTTTTTAAAATCTTCCGAATTCCGCTTTTGATAAAAAAAACCAACCAAACCACGTCCGAATGACCTGAAATTTTGCACACACATCCCAAATAACATAGCGTAACTACTGCAACTCTCGGAATTCCATTCCGACAAATATATCAAAATCCCACCTGCCAACCAAAAATCGCCAAAATATCCACTTCGCCAATTCAAGCCTAAATCTACTCCGAACCTCCAAAACTCATTCCAATCATACTCCTAAGTCCCAAATCACCTCCTGAAGATAACCAAACCACCGGAACTCACATCCGAGCCCTCAAACATAGAAGTCAACATCTGGTTGAGTTTTCCAACTTAAACTTCCTTAAAAGAGACTAAGTGTCTCAAACCTTACCAAAATCATTTCGGAATCGATCCGACCAACCCGATACCACAAAACACAGATGAACAAAACATAAAGAAGCAGAAATGGGGGAAACAAAGTGGTAACTCATGAGACGACTGGCCGGATCATCACATCTCTGCCCTCTTTATTTCTCTAGAGACTTCACATACACCAATTCACAAATCGTCATCCATTAAACATGAGGCAAGACAATGAAGAAATGGATTTATTTTTTTATTTTTTTATTTTTTATATATGTGATAACAAAATTTGTATACATATGTGTACAAGTAGGCTTGATGTTATAAGGTAAAGATGAACAAAAAGGATATTTAGGCTCAAAATGGGATACTAAGGATAAATTTCATTTGGTAGTTATAAAGAAAGGTTGAATCGATCCAAAGATCGCCTAATTCATTTTCCAAAATCAGCACTTTTCTAGGATTTCGCCTTGACTAACAATAGAAGCAAGTTCTAGTTATCGAATATATTGATTTGAGCATACCTTGATTTTATCTAAATAGTCAAAGTTTCATTACAGTAGAAAACTTACATCAACAAAAATGGAGGCATAAAAATAGAAGTCTTCAATGTTCTATGGACCTGAAATATTCAGATATGTTGCCAAGAAATGAGCAAAGCTTATTCATGTGCAAATTATTCTGAAAGTTCTTTTCTTTCCCCTTTTTAGTTTAAACAAAAGTGTACAAAAGTTTTTTTTTCATTTTATGTTTTTTGGCTTGGAAGTACAACTTTCTGGTACTACAATGGCATAAAGTTAATGACAATACTATTTTTAACGTTTCTTGCTTTAACTCACAATGTCCAAGTTATTTTGTTTTTCAAAAAAAAAGTACTAAAATAACGAAAGATAAGAAAATAAGACATTTTAGTTGTAAATGTTCCAAGTACTAAAATAGCTTACATTAAACATACATTCAAGGTTTCATTAGAACCAACAGGTTAGATTATGTACAAGTTATTACCATAGCTATCAAAATTATGTTACCTGTTGCAACCTTCTTCTTCATACTAACCTGAAAACATAAATCAACAGGTTAATCTCATGACTAATACAACAAAAATTTAGAACCTGTTGCTATAGAACCAAACTATCAACCTTAGATCTGCCATTTCATGACCTATTTACATACAAAAAAGCTACACTTATCAGCATTCCAAAGCACTCCATTCTATCTGCAACAAAAAGCATTAAAGAAGAAAGTTTTTTTTTCTAAGGTTTTGTTGAAAAAGAAAAAAACTTCTTCTTCCAGTGAACAAAAACACAAACATCCACCAACGGGTTTCTCCAAACAAGTAAGAGAAGCTAGTCAACAGCTCCAAAATTATTATAGAGAAAAGATAGCCAGAAAATTACCATCTCCCATACCTAAACCGTTCATTCTCCTGAATGAATAATTTGTTGTTTCGTTCTTAATTTTCAAGACCATTACCTTGAAAGAGATCAAGGTATGTATTGACTTCAAAGCCATTTTCTTGTTGAATAGGAACTGACAAACCTCTAGTTCTGGCAAATCCATGGTTAGATTCCATATTAGAGAAAACAGAAAAGGGCTGACTGCTAAATGTCATCGGCCTTGGTGTAGTTCCACTTCCCTGTAACGACCCGGCCGGTCGTTTCATGAGTTACCACTCTATTTTTTTTATTTCTGCTTTTTAGTGCATTGTTCAGCTGTATTTTGTGTTACTAGGTTAGTTGGATTGGGTTCAGAGAGGTTTTGGTAAGGTTTGAGACACTTAGTCTCTTTTGAGTAAGCTTAAGTTAGAAAAGTCAACCGGATAATTACTTATGTGTTAAAGGGATCGGATGTGAGTTTCAATGGTTTGGATAGCTTTGGGAGGTGCTTTGGGACTTAGGAGTGTGATCTGAAAGTATTTTGGAGGTCCGGAGTAGATTTAGGCTTGAATTGGCGAAATTGGATTTTTGGCGTTTTCCGGTTGATAGGTGAGATTTTGATATAGAGGCTAGAATGGAATTCCGGAAGTTGCAGTAGGTCCGTTGTGTCATTTGGGATGTGTTTGCAAAATTTAAGGTCATTTGGATGTGGTTTGGTAGACCTTTTGATCGAAAGCGGAATTTAGAAGATTTTAGAATTCTTAGGCTTGAATCCGATGCGAATTTGGTGTTTTGATATTGTTTTGAGTGTTTCAAAGGTTGGAAAAAGTTTGAATGATGTTATGGGATATATTGGTATGTTTGGTTGAGGCCCCGAGGGCCTCGGGTGAATTTTGGGTGGTTAAACGGACCATTTCATGTTGAAAAAGATTTCAAAATTCTGTTGTCGGGTGTTATAGACAATTGGCCTTCGCGTTTGTGAGTAGGTCCTCGTGTTTGCGAAGGGTTAGGCTGGGAGGCTGTGAAGTTGGCCTTCACATTTGCGAAGGAGGTCCCGCGATCGCGAAGGGTTTAGCTCATTGGTCATCACGTTCAAGAGGGTGATACCGCGTCCGCGAAGGGTTGAGTACTGAGGCATCGCGTTCGCGAGGGTGTCATCACGTTTGCGTAAGAGCAAATTCTGGTCAACCTAAGTTTGTGCTTCGCGAACGCGGGTGGTTGACCGCGTTCGCGAAAAAGGATTGAAATGTCTAGGCAGAATATTTTAAAAGCTCATTTCTGCGATTTTGAGCATAAGTTCCTCCATTTTTGGGCGATTTTAAAGCTTTTTGAAGGGGTTTGAAGAGGGAATCAAGGGGGAACACTTGGAGGTAAGATTTATGGACTTTATACTCAATCCTAATGTGTTTTATATCTAATTAATCATGGAATTTAAGCCTAATATTAAATAACTAGGGCTTGTAATTGGAGACCTAAAATTAGGTATTTGAGGGATTATTTGTGGTTGAATTTTGGTGGTTTTGATATGAATGAACTCGGTGAGTGATAAGGAGTCTATTGATGTAGTTTTTATCGGAATCCGAGACGTGGGCCTGGGGGTCGGGTTTGGCCAATTTCGGGATATGTGTTGTAATTTGATTTCATTCGAGTGGGCTTTATTCCCTTAGCATATTTTGATAATTTTGCACTGATTTTGGTTAGATTTGGAGCATTCAGAGGCCAATTCAAGAGGCAAAAGCATCGCGGGCTAGAGTTTGGTCCGGATAGAGGTGAGTAATGATTGTAAATGTTGTCATGAGGGTATAAAACCCCAGATTTCACATCGTTATGCTATATTGAGGTGACACACACGCTAGATGACGAGCGTGGGGTCGTACACCATTGGGGATTGTGACTTAGTCCATCCCGAATGACTGTTTTACCGTGCCAACTATTTGGACACTTAGGATTTTTACTCACTATTTTAATTTTATATTTGTACTCAGTCATGCTAAATTATACTGTTTTCATAACTCAGCCATATTTACTTTGTTTTAACCCTTTAAATGATATTTTGGGCTGAGCATCATATTTTACTGTTCCCGAGTGGTTTTTAGAGATTTCTGACTGAGTAGCGCCAAGGGCCTGTGTTGTGAGGACTATTATGGGATCGGGCTACACGCTGCAGCAATGTTGTACTGATTATGATTATGAGGCCGAGGGCCTGAGTTGTACGCCACAAGGTGGTTTTATATGAGGCCGATAGCCTATTTTATGCCACGAGATGGCTTGATATTGTGTGTGGGCCATAAGGGGCCCCTCCCGGAGTCTATACACTCCTAGTGAGCGCGGGTATTCATTGTGATATGAGATATAGTCCGAGGGGCTAATGTTGTTCCATGTTATTGCCCGAGGGGCTGATTCTGTTGACATTATGACCGAGGGGCAGATTTTATATGTTTATCTTTCCTAGTTGCTTTTCATTTACTTGTTAAATTGTTGAAAATGTGTTTTAAAGAAGCTTACTCTAAACCAAGGTGTTCTATAAGATTTCACTGTTTTATTGCGTTTATTTGGTTTTATTCTGCTTCTTTATAGCATGCTATTGTGTTTTCACGTGATTTCTTATCGCTCAGACTTCATTTATTGTTATTACTCACTGAGTTGGAGTACTCACTTTATTCCCTGCACCTTGTGTGCAGATTCCGGAGCTTCAGGTCCCGCCAATGAGGGTTGATTGCTCAGTAGGCTATTCGGAGGTCACTAGGTAGTTGCCCGACGTTCACAACCCAATGTTTCTCTCTCCTATTTTATTTCCCTTATCCTAGTTATATAATAGATTGTATAAACTCTTTCATACTCTTAGACTATATTAGATGCTCATGAATGGTGACACCCCGATGTAGGGCTGTATTTATTCCACAAATTGTACTATTTCAATGTTTCTTTGGGATTTAGTCATGTTAATGACTTAAATTATGTTATTTTAATTGCTTAAAAATGAATTGGGTGTTGTGTCGGCTGGCCTTGTCTTCACGAGAGGCGCCATCGAGGCCGGGTCTGGGTTTAGGGTCGTGACAAGTTGGTATCAGAGCCTAGGTTACATAGGTCTCACGAGTCATGAGCAGGTTTAGTAGAGTCTCGCGGATCAGTACGGAGACGTCTGTATGCATCCTCGAGAGACTGCAGACCCTTTAGGAAAAACTTCATGCTCATGAAATTCTTGTCGTGTGAATCTTTTGATCCAAGTACTTAACTTTTGTTATTCTATTCTCTCACAGATGGTGAGGACACGCGCTACCGGTCAGGATGGATGACCACCAGTTGTGGCAACTAAAGGCCGAGGATGCAGTAGTGGTCATGGTAGGGGTAAGGGTATGGTCCGCATAGTAGCTAGGGTAGAACCTGCAGATCCACTAGCTGCCCCAGTTCAGGATCAGGTCCTAGTTGTGGATGCTCCAGCAGCACCAGCTCAATCACCATCTGTGCCCATTGTGATTCTGGGTCTTCAAGAGTCCTTGGCTCAGATTCTATCAGCATGCACTGGCTTAGCTCAGGCGGTCTCAGTTACTATATCTGTATCTACTTCTCAGGCCGGGGAAGGCACTTAGACTCCCACCGCTTGCACACCTGAGCAGGTCATGCAGGTACTTCAGACACCGGGGGCACATCCAACCTAGCCGGTTATAACTGCTCAGGACTATGTAGCTCCTACCATGCTAGAGGACGAGCAGCATAGGTTGGAAAGGTTTGATAGACTTCATCCGACCTTTAGTGGTGTAGAGGGAGAGGATGCTTAGGGTTTTTCGGACAAGTGTTAGAGGATGATTCGACAACGGGTATTCTGGAGACCAGCAGGGTTGCTTTAACTACTTTTCAGTTTTCTGGAACCGCTTTCACTTGGTGGGAGGCTTATGAGAGGTGTAGGCTTGTTGGTGCAGCACCCTTTACCTGGCAGTAGTTCTCCATTCTCTTTTTGGAGAAGTATATACCGCAGTCTCGTAGAGAGGAGCTACATATGCAGTTCAAGTAGTTGCGTCAGAGAGAGATGACCATGACGTAGTATGAGATGAGGTTCTCAGAGTTATTTCGTCATGCTATTTGGTTGGTTCCGACAGATAGAGAGAGGATTAGGAGGTTTGCGATGGCCTTACATATCGGCTTCATATTCTCATTACCAGGGAGAGGGAGTCTGGTGCTACTTTTGAGGAGGTTGTAGACATTGCTCATGAGATTGAGTCAGTTCGTCGCCAGGAGCGAGATGAGAGGGAGGCCAAGAAGCCTCGAGGATCTGGTAGTTATGGTGGTGCTCCTTCGAGAGGTCAGTTTCAGCATGCAGAGGCCGTCCATTCAGGCATGCTCAGCCAATTCGCCCAGGTTATCGTGGGGCGTCATCGGTTCATGGTTCTCACAGTTCTCATCAGGGCCAGTCATCACTCAGTGCCCTTCTAGCTTAGAGTTCGTCTTGTGCTCTATCAGTTTAGGGCTCTTTTATGCCAGGTGCATCTGCTAGTCATTCCGGTGCTAGGGGTTCCCTTCAGTCCCTGTCTCCAACACCCGTGAGTTGCTATGAGTGTGGAGAGATGGGTCATATGTGGGGGCAGTGTCCTCATCATCTTGCGGGTTCATCTCAGAAGAGGAGTGAGCCATCGACTTTAGCACCAATTACTTTACCACCACCCACCCACCCAGCTAAAGTTG